AGCCTTCAACTGCTCTTAAACACTAATAAAACTAAATGCATGCTTTTCAATCGAACGCTGCTAGCACCCGCCCACCCGACTAGAATCACCACTCTCGACGGGTCTGACCTAGAGTATGTGGACAACTACAAATATCTAGGTGTCTGGTTAGACTGTAAACTCAACTTCCAGACTCACATAAAGAATCTCCAATCCAAAGTTAAATCTAGAATCGGCTTCCTATTTCACAACAAAGCCTCCTTCACTCATGCTGCCAAACATGCCCTCGTAAAACTGACTATCCTACCGATCCTTGACTTCGGCGATGTCATTTACAAAATAGCCTCCAACACTCTACTCAGCAAATTGGATGTAGTCTATCACAGTGCCATCCGTTTTGTCTCCAAAGCCCCATACACTACCCACCACTGTGACCTGTACGCTCTTGTTGGCTGGTCCTCACTACATGTTCGTCGTCAAACCCACTGGCTCCAGGCCATCTATAAATCACTGCTAGGCAAATCCCCGCCTTATCTTAGCTCATTGGTCACCATAGCAGCACCCACCCGTAGTCTGCGCTCCAGCAGGTATATCTCACTGGTCATTCCCAAAGCCAACACCTCCTTTGGCCGCCATTCCTTCCAGTTCTCTGCTGCCAATGACTGGAACGAATTGCAAAAATCTCTGAAGCTGGAGACTCTTATCTCCCTCAATAACTTTAAGCATCAGTTGTCAGAGCACCTTACCGATCACTGCACCTGTACACAGCCCATCTGAAATTAGCCCACCCAACTACCTCATCCCTATATTGTTATTTAATTTGCTATTTTGCACCCCAGTATCTCTATTTGCACATAATCTCCTGCACATCTAGCATTCCAGTGTTAATACTATTTTAATTATTCTGCACTATAGCCTATTTATTGCCTTACCTCCATAACTTGCTACATTTGCACACACTGTATATATATTTTCTGTTGTATGTCTGACTTTATGTTTTTGTTTTACCCCATAGTAACTCTGTGTTGTTTTTTATTGCACTACTTTGCTTTATCTTGGCCAGGTCGCAGTTGTAAATGAGAACCTGTTCTCAACTGGCTTACCTGGTTAAATAAAGGTTAAATAAAAAAAATAAAAAAATCACTGTCTAACTGTTAACTAAACCGCTCTATCACCTGTTCTAACTAAACCTCTTTCATCACTGTCGAACTAAACCTCTTCCTCACTGGTCTAACTAAAACCTCGTCATCCCTGTCTCACTAACACCTCTTCATCACTGTCTAACCTAAACCTCTTCATCACTGTCTAACTAAACCTCTCATCCTCACTGTTGAACTAAAACCCTCTTCATCACTATCTAACTTCAACCTCTTCATCACCATCTACGTTCTAACTAAAACCTCTTCATCACTGTCTAAATCAAACCTCTTCATTTCATCACTGTCTAACCTAAAACCTCTTCATCACTATCCTACTGTCCTAACTAAAGCTCTTCCATCACTGTCTAACTAAACCTTTTTTCATCCCCTGTCAACAAAACCCTCTTCTCACGTCAAAAAAAACCTTTTCCCCCCTGTCAACAAAACCTTTTCCTTTTCCCACTTTTCTAACAAAACTCTTCATCACTTTTCTAACAAAAAACCCCTTTACACGGGTCTACGGGCAACCAAAAACCCCTTTTTAAATTCACTGTCAAACAAACCCCCTTCCCCCACTGCCCAAAACCAAAAAACCTCTTCATCCTGAAAAAAAAAAACCCTTTTCTTCAATTACACCCAACAAAAACCCTTCATCATACAAACAAAACCTCTTCATCACGCCCTTAACAAAAACCCTTCATCACTTTTGAAAAAAACCTCTTCATCACTATCTAAATCTAACAAAGGCCTGAAGAAGGGGGAAAAATTTTAACTAACCAGAAAAGGCCCAAAAAGGAAAAGAGGGGAAAAGAGCCCTTAAAACATATTTCCCTATTTTTAAAGGGTGGGATTTAGCATGACAAAAGCATGGACCAGACCGCAGTATCACTCATTCAGTCATTCACATACAGCAGTTACTTAGTTATTTCCCTGATTTGACAAAGATGCAGTTATGGTTTAGCAGGGCATGCTTAGTGAGCAGAGAGTAGGTTTATAAAATACCAGGAACTTTATTTCCCCAAAATTCCCAGGCTTTTCCAAAAATCCCGGGTTGAAAAGATTCCCAGAATCTGAATGTATTAAGCAGGGAATCTGGAATCCTCCCAACCGGGATTTCTAGAAAAACCTACCGGAATATTTCATCCCTAGCAGAGAGGAGGTTAAAACACATTGCAGCCTTCATTTAAAATATAATAGAAGAACTAGAAGTGTGAACATCAGGGTTGGGCTCCATTCCATTTCAATTCCAGTCAATTCAGATAGTACACTGAAATTCCAATTGTAATTCCAATTCTCGTCAATGCTTTTCAATGAGGACAATTTGGAATTGGAATATGGTTTACTTTCTGAATTGACTGGAACTGAAATGGAATTGAGCCCAACCCTGCTGGGCACACAGTAGTTGTGAAACTCTTCTGTCTAGATCAGCGTTTGTTCGTCAAACTTGTTCCCCAACAAGAAATATGAATATGTAAAATAATAATTTTTTTCTCCCCATGTTAAACAGCAGCAAAGGGGAGAAGGGCTATTTTCCATCACCTTTACCTAAACATTGAAAATGTAGAAATGTGCTATGTATTGCAATGAAATCAGGTAACACATGAAATGTAGTGTACAAGTCGGAAACAATCCTAATTTCTGAACAGTGAACATGCAGGTTGAATGAGTTTGACATCTCTTTCCAGAAACGTTCAAAGTGTGGATAGAAAAATGCAACAGCCTACCAACTAGTAAGCTTACTGTGTTAGCGGCCCGAATGGCACCCTATTCCCTATGCAGTGCACTACTTTAGACCAGGGCCCATAGGGCACTATACTGGGAATAGGATTACATTTGGGACACATCCTGTAAATGTAAAATGGCCACCATTTTTACAACCACATAACGTTAGGCTTGTGTGCTAATTCTCTACACGTCCCCCCAAAGTGTACACTCCCTGCGTCCCCTTCCTCCCCCCATTTAAAAAAGTAATACGCAGACATCAGCATTCAGCTACTAGGTTTATAAAATATCATACACAGTGATGAACCTTTACAACGGTCCGTCTAGATAGTAAAACTCTAAGGGGACATCCCAAATGGCACCCTGTTATTCCCTACGTAGTGCACTACTTTTGACCCGAGCCCTAAAGCCCTGGTTAAAAGTAGTACACCATGTAGAGAAAAGGGTGCCATTTGGGAACAGCGCTTCCCTCCTTTTTTTGGTTTTGTAACGGTTCGACATTCAGAGCCCCACCCCCTCGACTGAGGGTTGGTCATGTGACCGGACCGCTTGTCATTTATTCATAGAGGGAGAGAGAGAGAGAGAGAGAGAGAGAGAGAGAGAGAGAGGGAGAGCGAGAGAGAAGAGAGAGAGGAGGAAGAGAGAGACGAGCCAGAGGAAGAAGTATCAAATAAACCTTCCACTGACTGATCAGCCAGCCAAATAATAACACAATCAACATGACTGTACCTTTCAGCCAACTCTGATGGAGTGTGTGTACAAACCTGGATCCTCTTTTCTGTAAACACACCCATTCCCTCTGCATTCCTATTTTTCACACCTCACACCACTACCATACAGAATCAATAATCACAGGGATAACATCACAAATAAATAATAATTAAAACAATAATAATCGACATTCAAATATAATAATTAGTTAAATACTACATTAACGCAAGCAGGTTGGCTTTGAGTCCAGAGATTGTCATTGCGTGAGGCTTCTTGCAGTTTTGGTGATGATGCTACATATGTCCAGTTTTGTCCCTCCTTGTGTAGTTGCCGTGGTTTACAGCACTTGCACAGCATACTGTAGGTTACTGTTTAAAATGCTTAACAGTCATTTGGGACGTGTGATATGGAACGCCGTTTGGGTCTTTACGTGTCAAAAAAATGTCAAAAGTGTAAGCTTGTTGAACATTCAGGACCTGAATATGACTGCACGTCACATATTTTTTACGTATATATTACACATTGATTACACTATCACTCGTATTTAATGTCACAACGATTCATTGATACGTACGCTATGATGCTGGTAAAGTTTTGTTATTAAAAAAGCGAGCTAGCTGATGGATGCAAACAATGTTCTTCCCAAAAAACATAGCAAAATGACATAATCTGTTTCAGTAGCTATAGTTAGCTAGCTAACTACCTAGCTAGGTGTCATCATCTAAAATAACCCTAATTTATAAGAACCCTTGGTGCTAGCTAGGTACCAAGCTAAAGCTAGCTAGCTACCCCAGAAGTTGCCGTCAAACAAATAATGCCTTATTACCAACGCGGGTATTGTAAACACATCGTTTATGGCCCGTGTGTGCTTGTTTGCAGACTTTTTTTTGTACCGTTTATACAGTGCTACTGATAGCAGTGGTGGAGCTTGTCTTGCATGTGCAAATTCAACACACACAACATTCATAATAGAATTGTGTTATTTGACGTGTCAAATTAAAATCTTATTTAACGCGTCAAATAGTCTTATTTAATGTGTATATTTTTTGACAAGCAAAGACCCAAATGGAGTTACATACTGTTATGACATAACTCTTATGTCTTCCAGTGTGTCACATGTTCCCTGTGATGTCACACAGGCACTTTGTGATGTCACAGAGGTTCCTTATTTATGATGTCACAGAGGCTCTCTATGATGTCACAGGAGATCATTAGAACCGTCTTGTTTCATCCCGTCTTGTTTCATCAGTCTCATCTCTCTCTCCTTTCAATTGTGCTTCTTCTTTTTCTTCTTCTTCTCTACGTGGACTTGTTCCAGTTCAGACATTTGTTCCCCACTCAGCCGGATGACTGACTGATTGTCTGGCGACCCTGTGTAGTGGGTCTAGAGGTCAGAGTTGAAAGGTCAACCGATAGGTTGTTATAGGGGTCAGAGATCATTGGTTCAGTTCAGAGGGCGGTGAGTGTGCGGAACAGCTGTGTGAGGCAGAAGACGGAAGCAGTGAGGGCAGTACACTGCTTGGCAAGGAGCTTGGTGCTGAGGTCATGACAGCTCCGCCTCCCGCTTGCCCTCTCCGCTGCCAGCACAAACTCCCGGTACGTCCTGGCCACGTCCGCCAGCCCAGCCAGCGCCTCAGCGTTCCTCCGGTCGCACCGGTCGCACCCGGAGAACCACAGGCACATGCCGGCCATGCCCACCAGGGTCTTGAAGCTGTCGGACAGGGACAAGAGCATCTCGTCCGGGGTCTGCCCCACCCGGACCACCTTCTGACAGCCGGCCATCAGCCTCCGGGCCTCCCCGTGGAGAAGACGCTTGTTCTCTGAGAAGTGGGTGGCGCAGGTCTCCCTTGGGTGCCTCCCCCCTCTCCCCCCCATCCTCCCTCCCTGCAGGAGGGTGATAAGCTCGTCCACGTCGCTCCGGATAGTCTGGAACCCTGCTGGGGGCGGTGGGAAGCGGCGGTGGCGTAGTCGGCCGATATCGTCCTGGAGACTGGACTGGGACAAGAAGCAGTTGGATGGGGAGAGGAGCGGGGAGAGAATAGGGGAGAGCTCCATGGAGGAGGATGGGGGCATGACAGAGCGAGGGAAGGAGGGAGAGAGGAGAGGAGGAGGGAGGGGAGGAGGAGAGGAAGGAGGAGAGAGGAGAGAGAGGGAGGGCCAGCGCAGAGGAAGAGGGTTGGGAGGCGGGAGGAGAACTTGTCCGGCAGGAGAACTCGTAAACTGTCAACTCATCGTCGAAGCTGTCACCCCCACTGAAACAGTTGTTATAAACTAGCGGTGGCGGACACCTGCATGCCTCCAGGGGCGTCTGCACCCCCTCCAGGACCGCCTCGCACCCCGACACCAGCACCGAACTACACCCTAAGTCAGGCTTCTCCAGCGGGTAGGATTCCATGTGGGCCTGGTTGGGCTGGGTCTCACAGGTGGAGGTGAAGACCCCACAGCCTGTAGTCAGGAGTTTCAGCAGGCCTGCCTCCTCCCCTGGGGGTTTACAGAAGCTGTTTCCCCCGAATGGCCGTCCTCTCATGTTATAACCAGGGAAGCTGAGCCCCGGTCCATTCAGACTCTGTGTGGTCACCACTATAGCAGAGGGGCAGGAAGACAACGGAGAGGACATTTTGGGGTCTAGGGATAGTGGTTCAGGGCAAGGGTCTGTCTTGGGTTCTACTCTGATTGGGGGAGGATTAGAAGAAGGGGAATTCAGACTCTGTGTGGTTACCACTAAAGCAGGGGGACAAGAGGACGATAAGGTGGCCATTTTGGAGCGTATGGATAGTGATTCATGTTCTGGTTTGGGCTCTACGCGTATGGGCACAGGAGAGGAAGGACAGGAAGGTAATGGGGCGGCCATTTTGTGGATAGTGGGGCTTGGGGAGAGTAGTTCAGAGACTGGTATGGGCTCCAGACAGATAGGTGCTGTAGCCATAGGAGGGGTGGTTTCCACTGTAGCAATGGGACAGGTAGGCAACTTGGCAACCATTTTGGGTTCTGGTTTGGGCTCTACAGAGATGGGATGCTAAAGGAGGAGGAGGGGAGGATCCGTAGACCATCACAACCTTCTCGACCACCTCCTTGACCTCCGACACCGTCAACCTCGTGATTTCCGCCCCGGCCGTCTCCACGACAACCTCGCCAACCTCCGATTCCGTCAGCGTGACCTCGGAATCATCCGACTCCGCCAACGCCACCCCGGAATCTTTCGAATCCTCCACTGTCGCCACCGCTGTGACATCGTCGTCCTTGGCTGTTTCGGTTGTGACCGTTACCTCAGTCTTGTCGCTGGTGGGCTCCTGAGAGGGGCTCCTGGTGGTGCTGCCCACCCCAGAGAGGGTGAGGGTTTCCTGGGAGCGAGATAAATAGAGGGGCAGGCTCTGGATCTTCCCCCGTAATGTGGAGGCCGAGAGGCTTTGGCCGATGATGCCCGGTGAGCAAGGCCGGAGGAGGAATCCTGTTGTAGGTGATATGGGAGACTCTTTGGGAATGTTAGCCATAGCTGAGTTAGCATTAGCTGAATTAGCATTAGTCATAGCTAAGTTAGCATTACCTGTAGAATCAGTGCTAGGTGTAGGGGAATTCATTATAGCATTAGCTTCATCGTTAGCCATAGCAAAATCAGAGTTAGCAGTAGCTAAATCAATGTTAGTGTTAGCTATAGTGTTAGCCATAACAGATTTGATGCTATTTGAATCTTTGTGATTAGCAGTGGCTAAATCAGAGTCAGAGCTAGCTGTAGCCTCAGTGTTAGCCATGACAGAATGAATGCTGGCTGTAGCTACAATGTTAGCCGTAGCAACATCAGTGTTATCAGTAACAGAATTAGTGCGAACTATAGCTTCATCTTTGTTAGTTTCTGCTTTCACTATGCTTGTCAGGTCCTGGTGACTGATAGTGAGTTTTCTATGGACTTGAGTCAAGCAGCTATTGTCCTTCTCTCTGTCTGAGAGTGTGAAGGGTTTGGGTTGGGACCCCACATCCACATCCTCGCTATCCCTCTCTCCCCTCTCCGTGTGGGGGATGGAGGGGGCTGGGAGAGGTGGTATTGGAGAGGTTGGGGGAGGAGGAGCCGGAAGGGGAGTCACGCTCTCCTCACCACCAGCCACGTCCTGTTCACCCCCTGTGTCCCTCCCATACACACCTGGATGGGAGATACTTATTTGGGGTATGAAATAAGCTTCCTGACCCTCGTCTTTCGTTAGACACAGAGGTCGTCTACTAAATTGGGACCCCCTAACGGAGGGTGGACCTTCAGAAATGAGTGAGGGCTGTCTCCTCTCTCTGTCTCTCTCCCCCTCCTCCCCCAGTTCCTCCCCCCTCTCCCCCTCCTCTTCCTTAATCTCAGTCAGAAACATGTGACATGTGAACGGTCCTGCCCCTGCTTCTCCACCCCCTTCCTCTTCCTCCATCTCTCCCTCCTCCCCGTCTCCTCTCCGATCAGTGCTCTCCTTGCCGTCTGGTTCTACTCTACAGCGTACAGCCGTGATGGAGGAGGAGGCTGCCGTCACCAGGGCCGTGACCGATTTGGACTCCATCACGTCGGGCTCTGTCTCCATGGACTTCCGCCTGCTCCTGGAGCTCCTATGGAGTTCAGCCTTCGGGTTATCAGGCGCCCGTGGATCTCCAGGTCCCTGGTGGGACCCCTCTCGGGTGGGCTTGGTGAGGATAGGCTTGGACTCGAGCTGGAATGCCTCCCCCTCAGTGTGGCTCAGAGAGGAGACAGTAGGACATGGGTTCTGGCTCTGCTCAGAGGGTTCTGGGTCCAAACTCAGCAGCTGGCTTTCGTCTGAGCTCTCTGTCCGGTTCTGTACCCGGTCCGGATACTGATCAGGAACGTGATCTGGGTTCCAGTCCAGTTCCGCTCCTGGTTTTGGTCCGGTCCAGGGTAGGAGACTGTGGAGGTGAAGTCAGTCTGCATGAAGGAACGCCGTTTCTTCGATCTTTTCCTAGAGAGCCTGGAGAACATCTCTCTGCCTCGTCCTCCTTCTCCTCCTCCGGTAGTCTCTCCCTCTCTCCCCTCCTCTCGTTCATCACTCCCTCCTTCCGTCAGGTTGATTCTGATGTCACTCAGGCTCACTGTTTGCTGTGCCATTCCGCTTGCCATCTCGGCTGAAAAATCTGAAGAAAAAAAATGACAACTTTATGTGACTAAAGAAATCTGAACAAACCTAACATATTTAAATGCTTCCCAGCTATGTATTGACCTCAGGTCATCAGGAATTAAAACCTTTCATCCATTTAATCTCATTAATCTCTCTTTATATATCACTAATTAACTGGAGAATATGCACTATGCTTCTCACAGTTTGATCTAATATGACAAGTTTCAGTTCTTCAAGTTAACACTTAAAAAACTAAAGCTGTTAAGTTGTTAACACAATATCGAACCTAGTGCAATAAAGTTCATAACACTACCAACCTCTAGGCATCTAAGAGGGAACTAACTATTATACATTACAGTACAGTAATAACCCTGACACACCTCTGGACACAGTCCCTGATGTTGGGTCTTCAGGCGAGGCGAACCGATCCCTCGCATCAAAGAACTCCTCGTCAGAACTGCTGTCTCCGAACCCTGGCGGCGGCTGGAGGATGGGCACGGGCTCCAGGGTCAGGACCGCCCCCTGCTCTTCCTCACCACCACCACCACCCTCCTCTTCCTCAGCCTTAGGGTGAGGGTGGGTGAGGCTGCATGCGCTGTCGGGGGTAACGTTAGGGCAGATATTGTAGTAACACCTTGCATCGCTCTGCTCGAAGGTAAACACACAGTCCATACGTGAGGAGGAGGAGGAGGAACGGGGACGTCCGGATACGGAAAATAACTCCTGTCCACCTCCTTCATCACTCCTCCTCCTCTCTTCCCTCTTCTGCTCCTCCTCCTCATCGTCGCTGGCCTCCGGAGGACTGGGGAGGTACTCCAGCATGAGAGAGAGCTCAGCATAGTTCAGGTTCTCAGAGGGGTCAACCACGGGGGTCACACGTTCAGAGTTCACGGGGTCAGGGGTCATTGGAGAATAGTGGGGGTCGACCCCGGCTCCATTGCCCGATCTCCTCCCTCCTCCCCCTCCTCTCCTCCCTCCTCCTCCTCTCCACTCTCCTGCCCCTCCTCGGGGTGAGGATGCACCCCCTCGTGGGTGAGGCTGGGGGTGGGGGGGCTCCACTGTGAGGCGGAAGGGAGGGTGAGGGAGGGAGGAGGAGCAGGCGATCAGGTCATCCTCCTCCAGAGCATCCAGGGAGTCACTGGAGATGCTGGTCATGAAACGAGAGTCAGTACGACACGAGTCGATTGCCTCCTCTGATACGGACGGGTGCCTTTCGGGAGGGAGAAGAGAAGAAAAGAAAAGAAGAAGAAGAGAAGAAAAGCAGAGGAAGGAAAGAAGAAGAGAGAAGAAGTAGAAGAGAAGGGGAAAGAAAAGAGAGAGAAGAGAAGGGAAGAGATGATACGAAGAGAAGAGATGCGCAAAGCGAAGAAGAGATAAGAAGGAGCAGAGAAGGGCAAAGAAGAAGAGCGAAGGAAGAGACGAAGAAGAGAGGAAGAAGCAGAAGAGAAGAGAAAAGAGACGAGAGAAGAAGAGAAGAGAGGGGAAGAGAAGAAGAGCGACGCAGCGAAGAAGAAGAGAGATGCAAGAGACGTACTAAGATCAACTCCTCCTATCTTCCTCCGCTCCTTCCTCTCCCCTCCTCCTCTCTCCTCCTCGCCTCTACTGTTCCCTCAATCTCTCTACTACTCTCCTCTCCTGTTCCATCCTCATCTCTCCTCCTCTCAATCCTGTCCCCATCCTCTATCTCCTCATCCTCTCCATCTCCTATACCCTCCTCCGCTCTCCTCCTCTCCTCTTTCATTCTCTCTTTCTCTGTCGTCCTCCTGCATTCCTCTGTTCTCTGCTCCTAGTTGTTTCTCAGACTTCTCCTCTCCTCCTGCTTCAGTGTCTTTCTTTCTCTGGTCCCCTACTTCCTCCCACCTTCTCCTCTATTCTCTCGTTCTCTCTGTTTTTTCTCTGTGGAGACATAGTTCCGTATTTCATATTTTTCTCTTGTTCTCCTTCTCCCTTCTCCTTTCTCTCGTTCCCCTCTTTCTCCTTCTTTTTCCTCTCCTCTCTCTCCTTCCTCTCTTTTCTCTCCTCTTTCCTCTCCTCCATAATGCGTCGTAGACCGACAGGGTCTGATGCGGTCCGCTGTTGTTATGGGGATACAAGGGAGATGAGGGTGTCCATGTCTGAGGAATCGTCCGAGTCACTGCCACACCGCGACACATAGCCTATGGACACACACATACACACACACACACACACACACACACACACACACACACACACACACACACACACACACACACCACACACACACACAACACACACACACACACACACACACACACACACACACACACACACACACACACACACACCACACACACACACACACACACACACACACACACACACACCATGAGAACATGAAACCTTGTAACACATAACATAATGATATTCATGATTTAATTATCTATCAGCTTACAGTATATACTGCACTATCCGACACACAGATACAACCTAGTTCTACTGTCTGACTCACAGATACAACCTAGTTCTACTGTCTGACTCACAGATACAACCTAGTTCTACTGTCTGACTCACAGATACAACCTAGTTCTACTGTCTGACTCACAATACAACTAGTCTACTGTCTGACTCACAGATACCAACTAGTTCTACTGTCTGACTCACAGACACAACCTAGTTCTACTCACAGATACAACCTAGTTCTACTGTCTGACTCACAGATACAACCTAGTTCTACTGTCTGACTCACAGACACAACCTAGTTCTACTGTCTGACTCACAGATACAACCTAGTTCTACTGTCTGACTCACAGATACAACCTAGTTCTACTGTCTGACTCACAGATACAACCTAGTTCTACTGTCTGACTCACAGATACAACCTAGTTCTACTGTCTGACCACAGACACAACCTAGTTCTACTGTCTGACTCACAGATACAACCTAGTTCTACTGTCTGACTCACAGATACAACCTAGTTCTACTGTCTGACTCACAGATACAACCTAGTTCTACTGTCTGACACACAGATACAAAACCTAGTTCTACTGTCTGACTCACAGATACAACCTAGTTCTACTGTCTGACTCACAGATACAACCTAGTTCTACTGTCTGACTCACAGACACAACCTAGTTCTACTGTCTGACTCACAGACACAACCTAGTTCTACTGTCTGACTCACAGTTACAACCTAGTTCTACTGTCTGACTCACAGACACAACCTAGTTCTACTGTCTGACTCACAGACACAACCTAGTTCTACTGTCTGACTCACAGATACAACCTAGTTCTACTGTCTGACTCACAGATACAACCTAGTACTACTGTCTGACTCACAGATACAACCTAGTTCTACTGTCTGACTCACAGATACAACCTAGTTCTACTGTCTGACTCACAGACACAACCTAGTTCTACTGTCTGACTCACAGACACAACCTAGTTCTACTGTCTGACTCACAGATACAACCTAGTTCTACTGTCTGACTCACAGATACAACCTAGTTCTACTGTCTGACACACAGATACAACCTAGTTCTACTGTCTGACTCACAGATACAACCTAGTTCTACTGTCTGACTCACAGATACAACCTAGTTCTACTGTCTGACTCACAGATACAACCTAGTACTACTGTCTGACTCACAGATACAACCTAGTTCTACTGTCTGACTCACAGATACAACCTAGTTCTACTGTCTGACTCACAGATACAACCTAGTTCTACTGTCTGAAACACAGATACAACCTAGTTCTACTGTCTGACTCACAGATACAACCTAGTTCTACTGTCTGAAACACAGATACAACCTAGTTCTACTGTCTGACTCACAGATACAACCTAATTCTACTTTCTCCTTCAAATGTTCTCTTCAACTATCTAAATATTGAAACACTCTAAACTGATATCAATGCAGTGGCAGATGTCAACTCAACAATTCAAAATCTTTATTGAAAATAAATGACACTTTTCAATTCCTTAATTGACTGAAAGGACCCTGGCCCTGTTGTGAATAGCCTGGTAGTGGTGTGGTATCGTACCCTCCTCAGTGGAGACATGGTGTGTGTGACTCACAGATACAACCTAGTTCTACTGTCTGACTCACAGATACAACCTAGTTCTACTGTCTGACTCACAGATACAACCTAGTACTACTGTCTGACTCACAGATACAACCTAGTTCTACTGTCTGACTCACAGATACAACCTAGTTCTACTGTCTGACTCACAGATACAACCTAGTTCTATTCTCAAACCTGTTCTGACTCACAGATACAACCTAGTTCTACTGTCTGACTCACAGATACAACCTAGTTCTACTGTCTGACTCACAGATACAACCTAGTTATACTGTCTGACTCACAGATACAACCTAGTTCTACTGTCTGACTCACAGATACAACCTAGTTCTACTGTCTGACTCACAGATACAACCTAGTTCTACTGTCTGACTCACAGATACAACCTAGTTCTACTGTCTGACTCACAGACACAACCTAGTTCTACTGTCTGACTCACAGATACAACCTAGTTCTACTGTCTGACTCACAGATACAACCTAGTTCTACTGTCTGACTCACAGATACAACCTAGTTCTACTGTCTGACACACAGATATAACCTAGTTCTACTGTCTGACTCACAGATACAACCTAGTTCTACTGTCTGACTCACAGATACAACCTAGTTCTACTGTCTGACTCACAGATACAACCTAGTACTACTGTCTGACTCACAGATACAACCTAGTTCTACTGTCTGACTCACAGATACAACCTAGTTCTACTGTCTAACTCACAGATACAACCTAGTTCTACTGTCTGAAACACAGATACAACCTAGTTCTACTGTCTGACTCACAGATACAACCTAGTTCTACTGTCTGACTCACAGATACAACCTAGTTCTACTGTCTGACTCACAGATACAACCTAGTACTACTGTCTGACTCACAGATACAACCTAGTTCTACTGTCTGACTCACAGATACAACCTAGTTCTACTGTCTAACTCACAGATACAACCTAGTTCTACTGTCTGAAACACAGATACAACCTAGTTCTACTGTCTGACTCACAGATACAACCTAGTTCTACTGTCTGAAACACAGATACAACCTAGTTCTACTGTCTGACTCACAGATACAACCTAATTCTACTTTCTCCTTCAAATGTTCTCTTCAACTATCTAAATATTGAAACACTCTAAACTAAAATCAATGCAGTGGCAGATGTCAACTCAACAATTCAAAATCTTTATTGAAAATAAATGACACTTTTCAATTCCTTAATTGACTGAAAGGACCCTGGCCCTGTTGTGAATAGCCTGGTAGTGGTGTGGTATCGTACCCTCCTCAGTGGAGACATGGTGTGTGTGACTCACAGATACAACCTAGTTCTACTGTCTGACTCACAGATACAACATAGTTCTACTGTCTGACTCACAGATACAACCTAGTACTACTGTCTGACTCACAGATACAACCTAGTTCTACTGTCTGACTCACAGATACAACCTAGTTCTACTGTCTGACTCACAGATACAACCTAGTTCTACTGTCTGACTCACAGATACAACCTAGTTTCTACTGTCTGACTCACAGATACAACCTAGTTCTACTGTCTGACTCACAGATACAACCTAGTTCTACTGTCTGACTCACAATACAACCTAGTTCTACTGTCTGACTCACAGATACAACCTAGTTCTACTGTCTGACTCACAGATACAACCTAGTTCTACTGTCTGACTCACAGATACAACCTAGTTCTACTGTCTGACTCACAGACACAACCTAGTTCTACTGTCTGACTCACAGACACAACCTAGTTCTACTGTCTGACTCACAGATACAACCTAGTTTCTACTGTCTGACTCACAGATACAACCTAGTTCTACTGTCTGACTCACAGATACAACCTAGTTCTACTGTCTGACACACAGATATAACCTAGTTCTACTGTCTGACTCACAGATACAACCTAGTTCTACTGTCTGACTCACAGATACAACCTAGTTCTACTGTCTGACTCACAGATACAACCTAGTACTACTGTCTGACTCACAAATACAACCTAGTTCTACTGTCTGACACACAGATATAACCTAGTTCTACTGTCTGACTCACAGATACAACCTAGTTTCTACTGTCTGACTCACAGATACAACCTAGTTCTACTGTCTGACTCACAGATACAACCTAGTTCTACTGTCTGACTCACAGACACAACCTAGTTCTACTGTCTGACTCACAGACACAACCTAGTTCTACTGTCTGACTCACAGATACAACCTAGTACTACTGTCTGACTCACAGATACAACCTAGTTCTACTGTCTGACTCACAGATACAACCTAGTTCTACTGTCTGACTCACAGATACAACCTAGTTCTACTGTCTGACTCACAGATACAACCTAGTTCTACTGTCTGACTCACAGATACAACCTAGTTCTACTATCTGACTCACAGATACAACCTAGTTCTACTGTCTGACTCACAGATACAACCTAGTTCTACTGTCTGACTCACAGATACAAACCTAGTTCTACTGTCTGACTCACAGACACAACCTAGTTCTACTGTCTGACTCACAGACACAAACCTAGTTCTACTGTCTGACTCACAGATACAACCTAGTTCTACTGTCTGACTCACAGATACAACCTAGTTCTACTGTCTGACTCACAGATACAACCTAGTTCTACTGTCTGAAAACACAGATACAACCTAGTTCTACTGTCTGACTCACAGATACAACCTAGTTCTACTGTCTGAAACACAGATACAACCTAGTTCTACTGTCTGACTCACAGATACAAACCTATTCTACTGTCTGACTCACAGATACAACCTAGTTCTACTGTCTGACTCACAGACACAACCTAGTTCTACTGTCTGACTCACAGACACAACCTAGTTCTACTGTCTGACTCACAGATACAACCTAGTTCTACTGTCTGACTCACAGATACAACCTAGTTCTACTGTCTGACTCACAGATACAACCTAGTTCTACTGTCTGACACACAGATATAAACCTAGTTCTACTGTCTGACTCACAGATACAACCTAGTTCTACTGTCTGACTCACAGATACAACCTAGTTCTACTGTCTGACTCACAGATACAACCTAGTACTACTGTCTGACTCACAAATACAACCTAGTTCTACTGTCTGACTCACAGATACAAACCTAGTTCTACTGTCTGACTCACAGACACAACCTAGTTCTACTGTCTGACTCACAGACACAACCTAGTTCTACTGTCTGACTCACAGATACAACCTAGTACTACTGTCTGACTCACAGATACAACCTAGTTCTACTGTCTGACTCACAGATACAACCTAGTTCTACTGTCTGACTCACAGATACAACCTAGTTCTACTGTCTGACTCACAGATACAACCTAGTTCTACTGTCTGACTCACAGATACAACCTAGTTCTACTGTCTGACTCACAGATACAACCTAGTTCTACTGTCTGACTCACAGATACAACCTAGTTCTACTGTCTGACTCACAGATACAACCTAGTTCTACTGTCTGACTCACAGATACAACCTAGTTCTACTGTCTGACTCACAGACACAACCTAGTTCTACTGTCTGACTCACAGACACAACCTAGTTCTACTGTCTGACTCACAGATACAACCTAGTTCTACTGTCTGACTCACAGATTACAACCTAGTTCTACTGTCTGACTCACAGATACAACCTAGTTCTACTGTCTGAAACACAGATACAACCTAGTTCTACTGTCTGACTCACAGATACAACCTAGTTCTACTGTCTGAAACACAGATACAACCTAGTTCTACTGTCTGACTCACAGATACAACCTAATTCTACTTTCTCCTTCAAATGTTCTCTTCAACTATCTAAATATTGAAACACTCTAAACTGATATCAATGCAGTGGCAGATGTCAACTCAACAATTCAAAATCTTTATTGAAAATAAATGACACTTTTCAATTCCTTAATTGACTGAAAGGACCCTGGCCCTGTTGTGAATAGCCTGGTAGTGGTGTGGTATCGTACCCTCCTCAGTGGAGACATGGTGTGTGTGTGTGTGTGTGTGTGTGTGTGTGTGTGTGTGTGTGTGTGTGTGTGTGTGTGTGTGTGTGTGTGTGTGTGTGTGTGCGTGGTAGAGTACCCTCCTCGGCAGACACGCGGTGCTGCTTGGCGTCCTGTGTCCAGGGGAAGATGATGAGGCTGGGGTCCACTAGGGCACGACAGTACCCTGCCACCAGACAGGACATGTCCTTGGCTGCTACTGACTCCAACAACAGGGTGATGGGCTGGGGAGAGGAGGGGAGAGGAGAGAGAGGGAGGAGAGAGAGGAGGAGAGGAGAGGAGAGGAGAGGAGAGGAGAGGAGAGGAGAGGAGAGGAGAGGAGAGGAGAGGAGAGGAGAGGAGAGGAGAGGAGAGGAGAGGAGAGGAGAGGAGAGGAGAGGAGAGGAGAGGAGAGGAGAGGAGGCTTCAGAGATATAAACACGTCTTTCAATAGTACAGGGTAGTAGAAAACTAGCTTGTGTGAGTCTGTGTCTGTGTGTCTGTGTGTCTGCTAGTCCGTGCATGCATGTGTGTGTGTGTCATGCCATACCTTGATGTCCTGTAGATAGATCTTGACCAGACTAACACGGTCAGACTCTGGTAGCAGCTCTATGCGTGTGATACTGCTGAACTCTGTGAGTGAGGTCATGATGCTCAGTTTGTGGTTCACCACCTGACTGATACCGTACCGCGACCCCACCAACAGGGTCACCATCGACTCCCTGTCCTGGAGCTAGAGAGAGAGAGAGAGCGAGAGAGAGCGAGAGAGAGAGAGAGAGAAAGAGGTGGAGAGAAGAGAGGGAGAAGAGAGAGAATTCAGTTCTCATAGACAGTTGAGGTCAGTTGAGTGTTTTTTTCTCCCCTAGATCTGTGGGTAAGTGTGGTGCATCATGGTAGTACTGAAGCTCCTGGTGCTCCCGTGGCACTCCCAGGCCACACCACCAGGGGGCGCCAAAATAGAATAATGACTAAAGATCCATAGACATGAAGAACATACTGTAGCTCTGTCATCCCTACTGAAACCCCTTATATCCTGTCTGTAGATAGAGATGAATAGAGAGGTACTGTATAATGAAACCCATTATATCCTGTCTGTAGATAGAGATGAATAGAGAGATACTGTGTAATGAAACCCATTATATCCTGTCTGTAGATAGAGATGAATAGAGAGATACTGTATAATGAAACCCATTATATCCTGTCTGTAGATAGAGATGAATAGAGAGATACTGTATAATGAAACCCATTATATCCTGTCTGTAGATAGAGATGAATAGAGAGATACTGTATAATGAAACCCATTATATCCTGTCTGTAGATAGAGATGAATAGAGAGATACTGTATAATGAAACCCATTATATCCTGTCTGTAGATAGAGATGAATAGAGAGATACTGTATAATGAAACCCATTATATCCTGTCTGTAGATAGAGATGAATAGAGAGATACTGTATAATGAAACCCATTATATCCTGTCTGTAGATAGAGATGAAAAGAGAGAGAGACACCATGACAGGGATACGTTGGTAGAGATAAATAGTAATAGAGATGAATACCATCATGCCAGTGCTGACAAAGAGAGATAGAGAGATATTATACATTTCTATCACGGTGGCGCTGAAGGACTTTGACAAAGGATAGATCGAGATAACTACCATCATGATATAGACAGAGATAACTACAGCTAGATAGAGATAATCTCTCTCCTACCATCATGGTGGAGATATAGATGTGGTCCTCTGTAGCTCAGCTGGTAGAGCACGGCGCTTGTAACGCCAAGGTAGTGGGTTCGATCCCCGGGACCACCCATACACAAAAAATGTATGCACGCATGACTGTAAGTCGCTTTGGATAAAAGCGTCTGCTAAATGGCATATTATATTATTATATTATTATAGATATAACTAGATATAGATAATCTCTCTCCTACCATCATGGTAAGGATATAGATATAACTAGATATAGATAATCTCTCTCCTACCATCATGGTAAGAATATAGAGATAACTAGATAGAGAATCTCTCTCCTACCATCATGGTAAGGATATAGAGATAACTAGATAGAGATAATCTCTCTCCTACCATCATGGTAAGAATATAGAGATAACTAGATAGAGATAATCTCTCTCCTACCATCATGGTAAGGATATAGAAATAACTAGATAGAGATAATCTCTCTCCTACCATCATGGTGGAGATATAGAGATAACTAGATATAGATAATCTCTCTCCTACCAACAAAGCCTCCTTCACTCATGCTGCCAAACATGCCCTCGTAAAACTGACTATCCTACCGATCCTTGACTTCGGCGATGTCATTTACAAAATAGCCTCCAACACTCTACTCAGCAAATTGGATGTAGTCTATCACAGTGCCATCCGTTTTGTCTCCAAAGCCCCATATGCTACCCACCACTGTGACCTGTACGCTCTTGTTGGCTGGTCCTCACTACATGTTCGTCGTCAAACCCACTGGCTCCAGGCCATCTATAAATCACTGCTAGGCAAATCCCCGCCTTATCTTAGCTCATTGGTCACCATAGCAGCACCCACCCGTAGTCTGCGCTCCAGCAGGTATATCTCACTGGTCATTCCCAAAGCCAACACCTCCTTTGGCCGCCATTCCTTCCAGTTCTCTGCTGCCAATGACTGGAACGAATTGCAAAAATCTCTGAAGCTGGAGACTCTTATCTCCCTCACTAACTTTAAGCATCAGTTGTCAGAGCACCTTACCGATCACTGCACCTGTACACAGCACATCTGAAATTAGCCCACCCAACTACCTCATCCCTATATTGTTATTTATTTTGCTCTTTTGCACCCCAGTATCTCTATTTGCACATAATCTCTTGCACATCTAGCATTCCAGTGTTAATACTATTGTAATTATTTTGCACTATAGCCTATTTATTGCCTTACCTCCATAACTTGCTACATTTGCACACACTGTATATATATTTTCTGTTGTATTTTTGACTTTATGTTTTTTACCCCATATGTAACTCTGTGTTGTTTTTATCGCACGGCTTTGCTTTATCTTGGCCAGGTCGCAGTTGTAAATGAGAACTTGTTCTCAACTGGCTTACCTGGTTAAATAAAGGTGAAATAAAATAAATAAAAATAAATGGTGGAGATATAGAGATAACTAGATAGAGATAATATCTCTCCTACCATCATGGTAAGGATATAGAGATAACTAGATAGAAATAATCTCTCTCCTAACATCATGGTGGAGATATAGAGATAACTAGATAGAGATAATCTCTCTCCTACCATCATTAGGAGATATAGAGATAACTAGATAGAGATAATCTCTCTCCTACCATCATGGTGGAGATATATAGATAACTAGATAGAGATAATCTCTCTCCTACCATCATGGTAAGGATATAAGATAACTAGATAGAGATAAAGCTCTTCTCCCTACCCCCATGGGGAGGAGGATTATAGAGATCTCCTACTCCTTCCATGCTTGTAAGGATATACGAGAATCACTTAGATAGAGATAATCTCTCTCCTACCATCATGGTGGAGATATAGAGCTAACTAGATAGAGATAATCTCTCTCCTACCATCATGGTGGCACTAAAGGACTTCCCGCCAAAGGACTTGAGGTCACACAGCTCCGCCAGGTAGTCAATCTTCGCCTGATTGGCCGACAGCACCTTCTGCTTGGGCTCCTGTGATTGGCTCTTCTTCATGTGGTAGCCAATGGCCTTCCTCAGATCCTTCTCCCTCATGTTCCTCAGGAGGGTTGATGAGACAAAGTTCTCAATGCCCCAACTCTTCCTGTAGAGAGGAAAAAGGGAATATGATCAGCTGTAATGTACTATTCTAATAGAGGGAATATGATCAGCTGTAATGTATAGAGACAAACTGTATGTGTGTGTGTGAGTGAGAGTGTGTGTGTGTGAGTGTGTGTGTGTGAGTGCGTGTGCGTGTGTGTGTGTGTGGTGTGTGTGTGTGTGTGTGTGTGTGTGTGTGTTGTGTGTGTGTGTGTGTGTGTGAGCATGCACACGAGTGACGTACGTGATGATCTTGAGGTTGGTCTTAGGTGACTGTCCACAGCTGGCTAGTCTCTCCTGTATGTGCAGGGCTGCCAGACGCAGGGCCGTGTTGCAACGCATCTCCACCGCAAAACGCTCCTGTAGCACGTCATTAATACCCTACACAAACACACACGCACGCACACACACACACACACACACACACACACACACACACGCATGCACACACACACATAGTGATGTTACACAAACATATTTACACGTCCATGTCATATAACCCCCCCCCACCCATACCTACCTGCAGGTAGAGGTAGTGGAAGGCAGTGGGGTCATCTTGTAACAGGTGCTCAGGTTCTCTGGGTACAAAACACACTCTGAACAGACACCTGTAGTCATGGACTTCCTTCTGATGGACCACCTGGAGATGGACAGAGAGAGAGAGAGAGAGAAAGGGGGGGTAGGATACAGATGTGTCTGTGTGTGTGTGTGTGTGTGTGTGTGTGTGTGTGTGTGTGTGTGTGTGTGTGTGTGTATATGTGTGTGTGTGTGTGTGTGTGTGTGTGTGTGTGTGTTCCTGTTCTATCCCTTATTCCTCCTGCAGTAGCAGTAGTTTAGTGATGCTATACTGTGTGTGTTTACCTGTTGTATCCTCTCCTCTTCATGTAGTAACAGTAGTTTACTGATGCTGTACTTCTGTTCCAGAACCAGAGAGAAGTGTTCAATACGAGACAGAGACAGTTTCTCCTTCAGGGTCATCACTATGTCCTGGGAACAACCAGAGAGAACAGGAGACAGGATCATCACTATGTCCTGGGAACCAGAGAGAACAGGAGACAGGATCATCACTATGTCCTGGGAACAACCAGAGAGAACAGGAGACAGGATCATCACTATGTCCTGGGAACAACCAGAGAGAACAGGAGACAGGATCATCACTATGTCCTGGGAACAACCAGAGAGAACAGGAGACAGGATCATCACTATGTCCTGGGAACAACCAGAGAGAACAGGAGACAGGCTCATCACTATGTCCTGGGAACAACCAGAGAGAACAGGAGACAGGATCATCACTATGTCCTGGGAACAACCAGAGAGAACAGGAGACAGGATCATCACTATGTCCTGGGAACAACCAGAGAGAACAGGAGACAGGCTCATCACTATGTCCTGGGAACAACCAGAGAGAACAGGAGACAGGCTCATCACTATGTCCTGGGAACAACCAGAGAGAACAGGAGACAGGCTCATCACTATGTCCTGGGAACAACCAGAGAGAACAGGAGACAGGATCATCACTATGTGCTGGGAACAACCAGAGAGAACAGGAGACAGGCTCATCACTATGTCCTGGGAACCAGAGATAACAGGAGACAGGATCATCACTATGTCCTGGGAACCAGAGAGAACAGGAGACAGGCTCATCACTATGTCCTGGGAACAACCAGAGAGAACAGGAGACAAGACACTGATATGTTAGGCCAGTTAAACTGTAGGGTTGAGGTCAATTCACTGAGGAGAATTGGGGTTTCAGTTTCCTGGCTGAATGGACTGAATGGAAAGGTCAGTAAAATAGGGAATAACAGGATGTAGTATGTACACAGTCAGTCAGTCAGTCTTGTAGAGGAGGAGTCTATTGTCCGAGCCAGGACGGCCCGTAGAGGAGGAGTCTATTGTCCGAGCCAGGACGGCCCGTGGAGGAGGAGTCTATTGTCCGAGCCAGGACGGCCCGTAGAGGAGGAGTCTATTGTCCGAGCCAGGACGGCCCGTAGAGGAGGAGTCTATTGTCCGAGCCAGGACGGCCCGTAGAGGATGAGTCTATTGTCTGAGCCAGTACGGGCCGTAGAGGAGGAGTCTATTGTCCGAGCCAGGACGGCCCGTAGAGGAGGAGTCTATTGTCCGAGCCAGGACGGCCGTAGAGGAGGAGTCTATTGTCCGAGCCAGGACGGCCCGTAGAGGAGGAGTCTATTGTCCGAGCCAGGACGGCCCGTAGAGGAGGAGTCTATTGTCAGAGCCAGGACGGCCCGTAGAGGAGGAGTCTATTGTCCGAGCCAGGACGGCCCGTAGAGGAGGAGTCTATTGTCCGAGCCAGGACGGCCCGTAGAGGAGGAGTCTATTGTCCGAGCCAGGACGGCCTGTAGAGGAGGAGTCTATTGTCCGAGCCAGGACGGCCCGTGGAGGAGGAGTCTATTGTCCGAGCCAGGACGGCCCGTAGAGGAGGAGTCTATTGTCCGAGCCAGGACGGCCCGTAGAGGAGGAGTCTATTGTCCGAGCCAGGACGGGCCGTAGAGGAGGAGTCTATTGTCCGAGCCAGGACGGCCCGTAGAGGAGGAGTCTATTGTCCGAGCCAGGACGGCCTTTAGAGGAGGAGTCTATTGTCCGAGCCAGGACGGCCCGTGGAGGATGAGTCTATTGTCCGAGCCAGGACGGCCCGTAGAGGAGGAGTCTATATGCTTCTGTAGCGTGAGGCAGCTTGATGTACAAGTACACCCCTGGACAAGACACTAGTAGACAGTATAGTACCTTAACAAATCAAATCAAATTTTATTGGTCACATACACATATTTAGCAGATGTTATTGTGGGTGTAGTGAAATGCTTGCGTTCCTAGCTCCAACAGTGCAGTAGTATCTAACAATTCACAACAATACACACAAATCTAAAAGTAAAAGAATGGAATTAAGAAATATATAAATAAATATTAGGTTTGAATATGGTATTGAAGAAGTGTGGCACCGTATAGTCAAATATAGTTACCTTAACTGAGGTCCTCTGTAGCTCAATTGGTAGAGCATGGCGCTTGTAACGCCAGGGTAGTGGGTTTGATCCCCGGGACCACCCATACGTAAAAACGTATGCACACATGACTGTAAGTCGCTTTGGATAAAAGCGTCTGCTAAATGGCATATTATATTATATATTATATTAACAGTGGTGTAGAAGCAGTGTGGTACCGTATAGTAAAATATAGTTACCTTGATAGTGGTGTTGGGTTCAAACTTGAAGGCCTTGGTCTGTCTGTTATATTAGTAGTATCAACAGTATTATACTAATAATACTGTATAATATGATAGTGTAGTATGTGTATGATATAGCTACCTTGACAGTGGTGTTGGGTTCAAACTTGAAGGCCTTGGTCTGTCCGTTCTCCAGATACACCTTTAGAACGTTGGGGAGGAAGAGCAGCGAGTTGCCCTGGAAACCAGATGAATCAGGAAATAAGGATGTGTTATTATTAGCTTAATACTTTACATGAATAACTGTTATGAAAGCTGAGCTACCTGAGCTTGTGGTGATGACAGGCCAGCTAACGTTTAACACTCTGTCTGCGTCCCAAATGGCACCCTATTCCAGTGCACTACTTTTGACCAGGACACATAGGGTAAAGTAGTGCACTATGTAGGGAATATGGTGCCATTTGGAACGCACACACTCTCTTTAACACTCTCACACTATCTCTGTTCTCTATCTCTTTTCTCTATCTCTATTCTCTCTCTCTGTTCTCTATCTCTGTTCTCTATCTCTGTTCTCTCTCTCTCTCTCTCTCTCTCTCTCTCTCTCTCATACTGTGTTTTCATGTCTCTCCCTCTTCATTTTCATCCTCTCACCCCCTCTCTTCCACTCTCCTCCTCCTCCTCCTCCCCCTTTCAATACTTTATTCTCCTGTAATCACAGCTGTTCTGAAGGGAATCAGACTGGCATTGATCCAACCACTCCATCTCTTCCTGTTCTCTCTCTCTCTCTCACTCCACCCCCCCCCCCCCTTCTCTCATCTCTCTTTCATTCTCCCTCCACCCCTCTCTCTCCTCCTCCTCCTCCTTTCAATACTTTATTCTCCTGTAATCACAGCTGTTCTGAAGGGAATCAGACTGGCATTGATCCAACCACTCCATCTCTTCCTGTTGTTCTCTCTCTCTCTCGCTCCACCCCCCCATCTCTCTTTCATTCTCCCTCCACCTCTCTCTCTCCGCTCCCCTCTAATCGTTAATAGTGTGTTTACACTGAGTATACAAAACATGAAGAACACCTTCCTAATATTGAGTTGCACGGGGCATGGACTCTACAAGGTGTCGAAAGCGTTCCACAGGGATTGCTGGCCCATGTTGACTCCGATGCTTCCCACAGTTTTGTCAAGTTGGCTGGATGTCCTTTGGGTGGTGAACCATTCTTGATACACACGGGAAACTGTTGAGCGTGAAAAACCCAGCAGCGTTGCAGATCTTGACCCACTCAAACTGGTGCTCCTGGCACCTACTACCATACCCCGTTCAAAGACACTTAAATATTTTGTCTTGCCCATTCACCCTCTGAATGGAACACATACACAATCCATGTCTCAATTGTCTCAAGGCTTAAAAACAATTATTTAACCTGCCTCCTCCCCTTCAGCTACACTGGGCTGTAGTGGAACAGGTTGAGAGCTTCAAGTTCCTTGGTGTCCACATCACCAACGAACTATCATGGTCCAAACACACCAAGACAGTCGTGAAGAGGGCACGACAAAGCCTATTCCCCCTCAGGAGACTGGTTGCATCACCGCCTGGTATGGCAACTTCTTGGCCTCCGACCGCAAGGCACTACAGAGGGTAGTGCGTACGGCCCAGTACATCACTGGGGCCAAGCTTCCTGCCATCCAGGACCTCTATACCAGGCGGTGTCAGAGGAAGGCCCTCAAAATTGTCAAAGACTCCAGCCACCCTAGTCATAGACTGTTCTCTCTGCTACCGCACGGCAAGCGGTACCGGAGTGCCAAGTCTAGGTCCAAAATACTTCTCAACAGCTTCTACCCCCAAGCCAAAAGAATCCTGAACAGCTAATCATGGCTACCCGGACTATTTGCAATGCCCACCCCAACCCCCTCTTTTATGATGCTGCTACTCTGTTAATTATTTATGCATAGTCACTTTAACTCTACCCACATGTACATATTACTTCAACTACCTCAACTAGCCGGTGCCCCCGCACATTGACTCTGCACCGGTACCCCCCTGTATATATAGCCTCCCTACTGTTATTTTATTTTACTTCTGCTCTTTTTTTCTCAACACTTTAAGCACACTAATAAAAATAAATGCACTGTTGGTTAAGGGCTGTAAGTAAGCATTTCACTGTAATGTCTGCACCTGTTGTATTCGGCACATGTGGCCAATACAATTTGATTTGATTTGATTTGATTAAAGTGGATTTAACAGGTGACATCAACAAGGGATCATAGCTTTCACCTGGATTCACATGGTCTGTCTGTCATGTTCCTAATGTTTTGTACACTCAGTGTATTCTGGTGTAATCAGGGAATCATCCAGCCATCGATATGACCACTCCGTCTCTGGCTACGTCCCAAATGGCACCCTATTCACTATATAGTGCACTACCCCATAGGGCTCCGGTCAAACGTAGTGCACTATATAGGGAATAGGGTTCCATTTGAGATGCAGCCTCTGTAGCTTGTGGTCCCCCCCCCCACCCCCCCTCCAGTCCTCCAGGGAGCTTATTCCTCCTCTCTGTATTCATAGGTGTCACGTTCGTTCAATGACGGGACAGACCAAGGCGCAGCGTGATATACGTACATGTTTATTTACTGATAAACACCACGACAAAACAACAAATGAAACGAAACGTGAAGTCCAAGGTAGCATACACACAACATACCTTATACGGAACAAGATCCCACAACCCACTAGTGCCAATAAGCTGCCTAAGTATGATCCCCAATCAGAGACAACGAGCGACAGCTGCCTCTGATTGGGAACCACACCAGCCAACATAGATCTACCCATAATAGATCGAAACATAGAAAACACACAACAAAGAATATACACACCCTGACTCAACATTTAAGGGTCCCCTGAGTCAGGACGTGACAATAGGAAAGGGACAGGATATCTAAACCATAGTGAATTGGGTTTCCAAGCCAAGCAGTGAGGATAGGGAGGAATATAGGGTTGTTACATGGATGAGAGCTTAACCACTTGTGACTAGCTACATACAGCAGTCATGTCAGCTCCATAAAGCATTTACAAAAATGTCCATTTGGTGCTTTAGAAGTCACTGCATAGAGTAGACCATACATAAATCCTGGATAGATATGACACAACAGCTTCATACAGGGCTTATAACACGTTACGCAGTGACATAAGGGTGTCATAAAGTCTGACGTACCTGAGAGTGACCGTTGACCTCGACCTCCTCAGCAAAGCGAACTTTGACTGGGTTGGACCGGAGTTTAGCTCGCTTCTCTGGGGTGATGAAGGAAGACTTGGGTCCCTGGGAAACCATATGAGGAGGAATTAGACAGAGTTTCCAAAAGGCAAGGGGCTAAAGACTGCTCCTAGCATAGACACATACACACTCCTCTCCCCACTGGAGACCTGGGTTCAATCCCTGTCTCCTTCCTGCTATGTCTGCCTCCTTCCTGTATCCCCATCTGTTTATGTACCTGTCTAAATAAAGTGTCAGAATACCTAGATCTGAAAACTAAAAAGGCAGTGAATATACAACACAACCTCAGAGACACTAATCTGACTGGTCAACCCAACAGACAATATACAACAGAACCTCAGAGACACTAATCTGACTGGTCAACCCAACAGACAGTGGATATACAGCAGAACCTCAGAGACACTAATCTCAGAGGTCCAGACTGACTGGTCAACCCAACAGGCAGTAACGGACCGGGACATTTATTACACAGACAAACGTAAATATCACTTTGATGTAACACTGAAAACTAAAACACTAATATTGTTGCTGTTGTGGTAATGAAGTCCCTCTGCAGATGAGAACAGCGTCATCCGGGAGTGGTGTCTGCACTGTAACTGACAGCCAATCACAGCAACACATCCAGGGAGTGTTCCTAATGCGTATAGCTGTGTGTGTGTGTGTGTGTGTGTGTGTGTGTGTGTGTGTGTGTGTCTGTGTGTGTGTGTGTGTGTGTGTGTGTGTGTGTGTGTGTGTGTGTGTGTGATGTTGAAAAGAGTCAGTGTTCGCAGCATGTTGGTTCAGAGGGAATGAGGCTGGTGCATTATCTGCAGTCGCCCATTCATCCACACGCAAGCAGACACACACACACACACACACACAAGTGCTCCATCATGGTTCCCCACAGGCAGCAGAGTGTTGTCACACCTTTATTTTGACCTAGTAGTGTGGCCTTGGCGCGTGTTTGTGTGTGTGTGTGTGTGTGTGTGTGTGTGTATATAAGCACTCCTCCCCCCAGCCCTCAATGAATTTGAAATATGGTTTTGTTGACAGCATTTCATCCATCCACCTGTGAGTGTGTGGTTTCTCTGTCGGTGAAGAGAGCAACTGGTAACTGAAGGAAGAATAAAACATGGAAAATATAAGAGACTCACCACTGAGTTTCTGAGGACTGTTATCATCACAGAGCACTGACACTCCCTAGAGAGAGAGAGAGATGGAGAGAGAGAGATGGTCAATATGAGGAATAAATGCTAGTGTCCTGTGTGTGTGTAGTGTGTGTGAATGTATGTGCTTGTGTGTTTGTGTGTGTGTGTATGCATGCATGCCTGTGAGTAAGTGCGTGTGTGTGTGTTATTGTACCTGATGAGGTCAGCCGCTTGCTCTGGGGTCAGGTCGTCGACGGCAACATTGTTGATCTTTACGACCTGGTCGCCAGGGACTAGCCTTCCATCAGCCGGCCCCGCTACAGACACACACACAGGATCCTCCTCATCATCATCTTCATCAACAGGGTATACAACCCTGGCGTTGCAAACGCCATGCTCTACCAACTGAGCTACATCCCTGCCGGCCATTCCCTCCCCTACCCTGGATGACGCTGGGCCAATTGTGCGCCGCCCCATGGGTCTCCCAATCGCGGCCGGCTATGACAGAGCCTGGATTCGAACCAGGATCTCTAGTGGCACAGCTAGTACTGCGATGCAGTGCCTTAGACCACTGCACCACTCAGGAGAAGCAATAAATAAAATAATTGCAGTGTGGGCATGTTTAGATATTTGTATTTGTATATATCGATCACACTTTTCACAGGAGTGTAACCCTTGTTTGTACTGTAGTCTATGGGGACTTTGTGGTATACAGTAGGTCTGTGATGGTAGTCTATATACAGTAGGTCTGTGATGGTAGTCTATATACAGTAGGTTGTCTATATACAGTAGGTAGTCTATATACAGTAGGTCTGTGATGGTAGTATATATACAGTAGGTAGTCTATATACAGTAGGTCTGTGATGGTAGTCTATATACTGTAGATATGTGAGGGTAGTCTATATACAGTAGGTAGTCTATATACAGTAGGTAGTCTATATACAGTAGGTCTGTGATGGTAGTCTATATACAGTAGATATGTGAGGGTAGTCTATATACAGTAGGTAGTCTATATACAGAAGGTAGTCTATTTACAGTAGGTAGTCTATATACAGTAGGTCTGTGATGGAAGTCTATATATAGTAGGTAGTCTATATACAGTAGGTAGTCTATATACAGTAGGTCTGTGATGGTAGTCTATATACAGTAGGTAGTCTATATACAGTAGGTAGTCTATATACAGTAGGTAGTCTATATACAGTAGGTCTGTGAGGGTAGTCTATATACAGTAGATAGTCTATATACAGAAGGTAGTCTATTTACAGTAGGTAGTCTATATACAGTAGGTTGTGATGGAAGTCTATATACAGTAGGTAGTCTATATACAGTAGGTAGTCTATATACAGTAGGTATTTTAGGGTAGTCTATATACAGTAGATATGTGAGGGTAGTCTATATACAGTAGGTATTTTAGGGTAGTCTATATACAGTAGATATGTGAGGGTAGTCTATATACAGTAGGTAGTCTATATACAGTAGGTCTGTGATGGTAGTCTATATACAGTAGGTATTTTAGGGTAGTCTATATACAGTAGGTCTGTGAGGGTAGTCTATATACAGTAGGTAGTCTATATACAGTAGGTCTGTGATGGTAGTCTATATACAGTAGGTCTGTGATGGTAGTCTATATACAGTAGGTAGTCTATTACAGTAGGTAGTCTATATACAGTAGGTCTGTGATGGTAGTCTATATACAGTAGGTAGTCTATATACAGTAGGTAGTCTATATACAGTAGGTCTGTGATGGTAGTCTATATACAGTAGCAGTCTATATACAGTAGGTAGTCTATATACAGTAGGTAGTCTATATACAGTAGGTCTGTGATGGTAGTCCAATATAGTAGGTAGTCTATACAGTAGGTAGTCTATATACAGTAGGTAGTATATATACAGTAGGTCTGTGATGGTAGTCTATATACAGTAGGTAGTCTATATACAGTAGGTAGTCTATATACAGTAGGTAGTCTATATACAGTAGGTCTGTGATGGTAGTCTATATACAGTAGGTAGTCTATATACAGTAGGTAGTCTATATACAGTAGGTAGTCTATATACAGTAGGTCTGTGATGGTAGTCTATATACAGTAGGTCTGTGATGGTAGTCTATATACAGTAGGTCTGTGATGGTAGTCTATATACAGTAGGTAGTCTATATACAGTAGGTAGTCTATATACAGTAGGTCTGTGATGGTAGTCTATATACAGTAGGTAGTCTATATACAGTAGGTAGTCTATATACAGTAGGTCTATGAGGGATAGTCCACAGCATTTCGCTACCACCCGCTATAACATCTGCTAAACACGTGTATGTGACAAATACAATTTGATTTGATCTTCATTAAGCCCATCTCCCCTGCCGTTTCTCTCATTCCTGTAACCACCACACACACACACACACACACACACACACACACACACACACACACACACACACACCAGCGAAACTTCCACTAGCTCAGCAACATTCCCATCCTGTCACATGTGTCCCAAATGGCACCCTATTCCCTATAGGGCACTACTAGGACTCTGGTCAAAAGTAGTACACTATATAGGGAATTGGGTGCCATTTGGGACACACTTTAAGTCTCCACCTGGCCTTAACAACCCAAACCCTAATGGAGCCTACGGAACAACACAATTTTTAGGGTATTTTAGGGTAGTCTATATACAGTAGGTCTGTGAGGGTAGTCTATATACAGTAGGTAGTCTATATACAGTAGGTCTGTGATGGTAGTCTATATACAGTAGGTCTGTGATGGTAGTCTATATACAGTAGGTAGTCTATATACAGTAGGTAGTCTATATACAGTAGGTCTGTGATGGTAGTCTATATACAGTAGGTAGTCTATATACAGTAGGTAGTCTATATACAGTAGGTCTGTGATGGTAGTCTATATACAGTAGGTAGTCTATATACAGTAGGTAGTCTATATACAGTAGGTAGTCTATATACAGTAGGTCTGTGATGGTAGTCCATATATAGTAGGTAGTCTATATACAGTAGGTAGTCTATATACAGTAGGTAGTATATATACAGTAGGTCTGTGATGGTAGTCTATATACAGTAGGTAGTCTATATACAGTAGGTAGTCTATATACAGTAGGTAGTCTATATACAGTAGGTCTGTGAGGGATAGTCCACAGCATTTCGCTACCACCCGCTATAACACTGTGATGGTAGTCTATATACAGTAGGTCTGTGATGGTAGTCTATATACAGTAGGTAGTCTATATACAGTAGGTAGTCTATATACAGTAGGTAGTCTATATACAGTAGGTCTGTGATGGTAGTCTATATACAGTAGGTCTGTGATGGTAGTCTATATACAGTAGGTCTGTGATGGTAGTCTATATACAGTAGGTAGTCTATATACAGTAGGTAGTCTATATACAGTAGGTCTGTGATGGTAGTCTATATACAGTAGGTAGTCTATATACAGTAGGTAGTCTATATACAGTAGGTCTGTGAGGGATAGTCCACAGCATTTCGCTACCACCCGCTATAACATCTGCTAAACACGTGTATGTGACAAATACAATTTGATTTGATCTTCATTAAGCCCATCTCCCCTGCCGTTTCTCTCATTCCTGTAACCACCACACACACACACACACACACACACACACACACACACACACACACACACCAGCGAAACTTCCACTAGCTCAGCAACATTCCCATCCTGTCACATGTGTCCCAAATGGCACCCTATTCCCTATAGGGCACTACTAGGACTCTGGTCAAAAGTAGTACACTATATAGGGAATTGGGTGCCATTTGGGACACACTTTAAGTCTCCACCTGGCCTTAACAACCCAAACCCTAATGGAGCCTACGGAACAACACAATTTTTAGGGTATTTTAGGGTAGTCTATATACAGTAGGTCTGTGAGGGTAGTCTATATACAGTAGGTAGTCTATATACAGTAGGTCTGTGATGGTAGTCTATATACAGTAGGTCTGTGATGGTAGTCTATATACAGTAGGTAGTCTATATACAGTAGGTAGTCTATATACAGTAGGTCTGTGATGGTAGTCTATATACAGTAGGTAGTCTATATACAGTAGGTAGTCTATATACAGTAGGTCTGTGATGGTAGTCTATATACAGTAGGTAGTCTATATACAGTAGGTAGTCTATATACAGTAGGTAGTCTATATACAGTAGGTCTGTGATGGTAGTCCATATATAGTAGGTAGTCTATATACAGTAGGTAGTCTATATACAGTAGGTAGTATATATACAGTAGGTCTGTGATGGTAGTCTATATACAGTAGGTAGTCTATATACAGTAGGTAGTCTATATACAGTAGGTAGTCTATATACAGTAGGTCTGTGAGGGATAGTCCACAGCATTTCGCTACCACCCGCTATAACACTGTGATGGTAGTCTATATACAGTAGGTCTGTGATGGTAGTCTATATACAGTAGGTAGTCTATATACAGTAGGTAGTCTATATACAGTAGGTAGTCTATATACAGTAGGTCTGTGATGGTAGTCTATATACAGTAGGTCTGTGATGGTAGTCTATATACAGTAGGTCTGTGATGGTAGTCTATATACAGTAGGTAGTCTATATACAGTAGGTAGTCTATATACAGTAGGTCTGTGATGGTAGTCTATATACAGTAGGTAGTCTATATACAGTAGGTAGTCTATATACAGTAGGTCTGTGAGGGATAGTCCACAGCATTTCGCTACCACCCGCTATAACATCTGCTAAACACGTGTATGTGACAAATACAATTTGATTTGATCTTCATTAAGCCCATCTCCCCTGCCGTTTCTCTCATTCCTGTAACCACCACACACACACACACACACACACACACACACACACACACACACACACACACCAGCGAAACTTCCACTAGCTCAGCAACATTCCCATCCTGTCACATGTGTCCCAAATGGCACCCTATTCCCTATAGGGCACTACTAGGACTCTGGTCAAAAGTAGTACACTATATAGGGAATTGGGTGCCATTTGGGACACACTTTAAGTCTCCACCTGGCCTTAACAACCCAAACCCTAATGGAGCCTACGGAACAACACAAAACCCATCTGGTCCCTTTTCTCTATAGCCTGTTAATCAAAATCCATCTCAATGACATCACAATCGGATTCTATAATTGTATCATTGATGCGGTAAAGGAGTCAATGGATCGCAGACGTTCCATTGACCAGATTGGCGCACATTCAACAAATCGAATTAACAAAGTGGATATTTGTCAAATCCGTCATGATTGATGTATTGTAACAGGCCCACAATGTGGTTACATAAGTCCGATTTGGATATATTTGGCTGTTTTGCTGCATAACATTTAGAAGTTGTCCGTTTCCAGGTTTAGAAGATGTGACTGCTAAATGCTAACCTCCGTTCGTCTAAGCTGGTTAACATAGCTAGCATACAGAAATCGGTGGTGGTAGTGAAATTAGATTTTAACTGTAATGCAGTTGATTGGTAACGATGACATGAACATGTATTGGGGTTGACATCCATACAGAAATTACACTCTGATTTTTACCTCAACATAGTGTGAAACACACCATAGCCTAAATGTTGGCTAATTCTGCTCGGGGGGCAATGAGGAGACTCGGGATCTTCCCCCACGCAATTGACCTCGTTACCGCATCTATGGCCAAGGGGGAGTGTTGCTTTGTTCCATCCATGGAATCTCCAGAACATTACAACGTGCATCATAGAATCAAATAGAACACTGTGTATCTCTATGACATGCATGGCCTCTTCTATTCAGAGCAGAACAGGACAGAACATTGTTATTGCTTAGTGTGGCCACATGGGGGCACTGTGTTGGTGAGCGGCAGTAGGGTGTGTAACTATGAGTACTATAGTAACTGTGGGGTGGTGAGACACCTACCTGCCCTGTTACCTCACATCTCTACAGAAGACCTGTCCTTCAATGTGGCTGACACAGTACTGGGGCTATAGCATCCCACACACCATCGGTATTACGGTACGTGTGTGTGTGTGTGTGTGTGTGTGTGTGTGTGTGTGTGTGTGTGTGTGTGTGTGTGTGTGTGTGTGTGTGTGTGTGTGTGTGTGTGTGTGTGTGTGAGAGAGAGCGAGAAGTAGAACATCTATTCGACAAGATGTTGTATTGGCACTCCAACACGTCTAAACAGCAACCAGAGTTGGAGGTTCAAGCCTTGCTCCAGAATTGCCTCCTAAATGAAAACGTATGCACTCACTAACTGCAAGTCGCTCTGGATAAGAGCGTCTGCTAAATGACTAAAATGTCAAATTTAAAATGTAAATCACTACAAAAAGTTCCTATGTCCCTGTCTTACAGGTGTGTGCGTGTACAGGTCTGGCTGTGCTCTTCTGTGTCCACTGCTGGTTGAGGAAGCTCTCCTCTGGTACCGGACAGAGGAGAGAGGAGGGGACTGGGGACTCAGGTCTGTGGAGCTGCAATGGCCAGGCTGACTCACTGGCGCCCCTAATGTCCTGGAGGACAAGTGACGGCTGCTCCTGTTCCAGGTCCTCCCTCTTCTCTCACCCCTCATTTCTAGTTTCTCCTGGCATCTTCCACCGTCTTTCCTCCTCCGTGGACCCCCTCCCTTCATCAAATCCCTCCCTCGACACACTCATCCATCCCATCACGCCATCCCCCCAAACACAGCCCCCAGTGAGAGATGGACAGGGGGATGAGAAGAAGGAGAAGGAGGAAGAGGAGTGGTTTCTGGAGAGGTACGTGGGGCCTGAGATGATCCATGTTCTCCTTAAGGCCCAACGGTCCACCTCCTCCAGGGTAAAGAAGGGTCTCTCAGACCCCACCTTACCCAGGCTCGGGGGCACCACCCTAGGCCTCGACGCTGCCATCGCCCCCCTAACCCTCCGGGCCCTACAGAGCCAACTGTTCCTCTCCTGTAAGGGAGAGCTGGATGGGACCACCACCAAAGAGGCTGAGGGGACTCAGGACGGAGCAGAGAGTCTGAACAAGCCAGAGAGGCTGGACAAGCCCAGGACGGAGCATCGTGACTGGGGTTTAGATGAGGATGGTGAGGGTGATGAGGACCAGGGTGAAAACCAGGGTGAGAACCAGGAGGGGGGTCTGGCTCTGAGGGTGACCCAGAGCGTGAGTCGGGCCCTGGGGTGGATCAGGGAGGCGGAGGGGTACCTCATCCACCCAGACTATGATGCTCTGGAGGCTGTAGTTGGATCCTACGCCTGATGGAGTAATGACTAGCAAGACTGCCAGGATCTCAGTATTGCCAAGGATGATTGGTCAAAAGACTGCCACTCGAATTCAACGGCATGTCTAATTGGTCTGATTTCTGCCACCCAACTAATCAAATTATTAAATAACATCTTCAAGTGACTCAGAAACCCTATGTTGTTTTCTTTCCCTTGCTGTTTTTTCTCACCAGATGTTGATTGTTAAGCTAAAACTGATCAGCAGCCCCAATGTCAGGTAATGACAACTTATGTCAAGATTATGACAGCACAATGTAGTCCTATGTCAGGGTTATAATAGCTCTATGTCATGTTTATGTAGCCTACCTGGGGTGACGTCCTGCACCAGTATGGGTGTCTGAGGTGTCAGGGTGAGCCCATGAGTGTTGAGGAGGGGGTCTCGTAGGATCTGGACGGTCAGTCTAACCGGGTAGTTGTTCTTCTGGTCCTGACCGCTAGACTCTCCCCCCGCAGCCGCCTTCCCATCTACCAGGATACGCTCTCTGATTGGGGTAGAGACGAGGTATCAGCCAATCAGAATCAGAGGACAAGGTAGCAGCCAATCAGAATCAAGGAAACATACAGATGGAGAAGATGTCATCCAATGAAAAGGAGAGGACAACAGAAGGACAAGGTATCAGCCAATCAAAATAAACAAGGAAACACTTAATTATAATAATCTCCAACAGATGATCCCCAATATTGCCTTGAATAACCAGGCCTAACCCAGACAAAACCATTACTAGTCCCCAGGCCTAACCCAGACAAACCAATTACTAGCCCCCAGGCCTAACCCAGACAAACCAATTACTAGCCCCCAGGCCTTACCCAGACAAACCAATTAGTAGCCCCCAGGCCTAACCCAGACAAACCCATTACAGCCCCCAGGCCTAACCCAGACAAACCCATTAATAGCCCCCAGGCCTAACCCAGATAAAACCATTACTAGCCCCCAGGCCTAACCCAGACAAACCAATTACTAGCCCCCAGGCCTAACCCAGACAAACCCATTACAGCCCCCAGGCCTAACCCAGACAAACCCATTAATAGCCCCCAGGCCTAACCCAGACAAACCCATTAATAGCCCCCAGGCCTAACCCAGATAAAACCATTACAGCCCCCAGGCTAACCCAGGATAACCCATTACTACCCCAAGGCCTAACCCAGACAAACCCATTACTAGCCCCCAGGCCTAACCCAGACATACCCATTACTAGCCCCCAGGCCTAACCCAGACAAACCCATTACTAGCCCCCAGGCCTTACCCAGACAAACCCATTACTAGCCCCCAGGCCTAACCCAGACAAACCCATTACTAGCCCCCAGGCCTAACCCAGACAAACCCATTACTAGCCCCCAGGCCTAACCCAGACAAACCCATTATTAGCTCCCTGGCTATCCCAGACAAACCCAAGCTAGTCGGGCCTAATGCCAAAGATAACCCTGTTGCTGGAGTCTCTGGAGCATCGTAGCCATCACCCCACCATCTGCTCCACACGGCTGGTCCTACCTAAACCTAACCTAACCTAAACCTGAACCTGAATCTGAACCTAAACCTAAACCTAAACCTAATCGTAATACTGACCTGCTGCTGGAGTCCCTGGAGCGTCGTAGCCATCGCCCCACCACCTGCTCCACCCGACTGGTCCTGCGGGACGGGGAGCGGCTTCTGTCCCGCTCCTCCATTTAACTACAGACAGGGGTTAAAGGTCAGAGGTCAGAGGCCAAGGATGAGAGTAGGGGTTCAAATATAGCTTAACATTGTGACCATTGTTCCATTGCCTGCATTAGAGGTATGCACGCAGAAATGTCAGAACATTCAATGAGCAACATTTCCTGTATGACCTGGGGATGTATGCTTGGGAGGGTGTGTCCTCTATCTCTGATTCAGAACTTTAAATGTTTTACCTCTCTGTTGAACTCTGTTGCAGATAAGCATGCCCCATATACAATATTATGGGTTAAAGACAGCTCTAATCCATGGTTCACACATTAATTGTCTGAAAGATTTCATGAAAGAAACTTAGCTTGGGCTAAGGCTAGATTGACTGATTCTACCTCTGACTGGCAGTCCTTCAGACATTTGAGAAATAGATGTCTTACTCTGGTTAGAAAAGCAAAGTCAACATACTTCTTGAATTGTATAACAGAGAGTGGTGGAAAGAAATCCAGCTCCATTCTGGAGTGATCAAATCAAATCAAAACAACAAAGCTCCACCCCGTCATTACCCCAGTAGGTTATGACAGCCTCTGGTCCCATAACAGACGCTTGTAATAACCATTGTGCCTCAACTGTCCATCTATTCGAAAGAATGGTTTCTGGAAAGGAAAAGGCTCAATGCTCGCTCACCATTAAACATTCTTAGTTTATAAAACCATAAAAAAGTATTTGTTTCATTGGGGAGCAAGTCTTTTTGCACGTTTTCCTTTCCAATTATGTTTACACATTTTTAGGTTGCACCTCGACTCACGTTAGTTGAACACCCTCTACTTCTTACCAAAGAATGGTTTCTGAAAATACCTAAAGTTCCACTGGAGGGAGTCCTTTATTCAGATTTTACATTTACATTTTACATTTTAGTCATTTAGCAGACGCTCTTATCCAGAGCGACTTACAGTTAGAAACTGGGCAGTAGATAGCAGAGAATGATGCACTTCCAGGCTCTTTTTTTTCATTTCAACCATTTTATGTCAGTGATGTATTAAGTGCCTTACAAAAAATGGATGTAAAAAAATCCACAGGAGCTGATTCACTTGATCCCTTTCTACTGCAGCTTTCTGCCCCCCTCAACCTTTGGCCCACATGTTTTATTTAATAATTGCTTCTGGTGCGATCCCTGAGATCAGGAAGGCGTTGCATGTCCTCCCCTTTTACAAAGGTGGGGATTCTTCTGACCTAGATAACTACCGCCCAGTTTCTAAACTATCTTGCCTTGCAAAAAATTAGAATCACTGGCATCTCTCAGCGAATAACTTTTTTTTACTTCAAAATACACACTGTGGCCAGCTCACAGGTACACCACCCTGTTCACAAAAATGGTTCGCTCCAACAGACAGTGAGTCACGTGGCAGTGGCTTGCTATATAAAGCAGGCAGACAGGCATCGAGGCATTCAGTTACTGTTCGATTGAAAGTTAGAATGGGCAAAACTAGTGACCTAAACAACTTTGAGCATTGTTTGATTGTCAGTGCCAGGCGCGCCGGATCCAATATCTCAGAAACGTCCGGCCTCCTGGGCTTTTCACGCACGACAGTGTCTAGAGTTTACCGAGAATGGAGCGACAAACAAAAAACATCCAGTCAGCGGCAGTCCTGTGGGCGAAAGGTGAGAGGTCGAAGGGGAATGGCAAGAATCGTACAAGCTAACAGGCGGGCCACAAACAGACAACTAACGGCGCAGTATAACATTCGTCAATCCTTGTCACGGATGGGCTATTGCAGCAGACGACCACACCGGGTTCCACTCCTATCAGCTAAAAACAAGAAGAAGCGGCTCCAAAGATCGCCTGGTCTGACGAATCCCGGTTCCTGTTGCGTCATGCTGATAGCAGAGTAAGGATTTGGCATAAGCAGCATGAGTCCATGGCCCCATCCTGCCTGGTGTCAACAGTACAGGCTGGTGGTGGTGGTGTAATGGTGTGGGGAATGTTTTCCTGGCACACGTTAGGTCCCTTGATACCAATTGAGCAATGTTTCCATTCCACTAAGAATTCAGGCTGTTTTGGAGGCAAAGGGGGGTCCGACCCGGTACTCGATGGGTGAGTGTACAAAATACAGGTGAAAGCTATGATCCCTTATTGATGTCACCACATTTAGTTTTAACGCTCCACATTTTTGGAATCACTTACAAAGTTCATTACATTTGGATACCCTGGTGCCACTAGGGCGGTTAAAAATCCTGATGATAAATGAGTTCACCAAGGTGCGCAATTGTTTTGATTGACTTTATACATTGTTTCTAATGCCTGTGATGTTTCTGATGTTCTAATGTAATGTACTGGTTGTTCTATCTTGTATCTTGTACTTTTACCGTTTATTTGATGTCCTCAGGGCACCATTGGAAATGAAACCCTGGTCTCCATTTTTGATGCCACGGTTTGGCAAGTTGAATATTCTGTGAACCTCCGTGTGTGTGTGTTTGTCTGTCGACTTCCATGTACGTAACTGTACACGCACGCGCGCACACACACACACACACACACACACACACACACACACACACACACACACACACACACACACACACATACAGTAACAGTCAAACGTTTTTCTTTATTTTTACTATTTTTTTTAGAATAATAGTGAAGACATCAAAACTATGAAATAACATATATGGAATCATGTAGTAACCAAAAAAGTGTCAAACAAATCAAAATATATTTTATATTTGAGATTCTTCAAAGTAGCAACCCTTTGCCTTGATGACAGCTTTGCACACTCTTGGCATTCTCTCAACCAGCTTCACCTGGAATGCTTTTCCAACAGTCTTGAAGGAGTTCCCACATATGCTGAGCACTTGTTGGATACTTATCAGCAGAAATAAAACCCTTGAATGACTAGATGTCCAAACGTTTGACTGGTACTGTATACATTATTCAGTAGAGTGCTGTATGTTGTTTGGGGGACCAGAGATGATGTCACTAGGGATTGTGATGCTCTAATTGGTCTGTAGACCAGACAGGCTGTGATTGTCTGATAATCTACATGTGGTGTGCAGGCTAAATGGGTCCTGATGGTCCATGATGTCAATAGATCTCAATCCATATGCTTCCTAATTGGCAATCTCAGCTGTGGTGTCTCTTTTAGATGGGTCTCCAAAGGTTCATTTGAGTGAGGAGGTGATCATCTAAAATGGAAATGTGGTTGTAATGGACAGTGGTGCCGTCCCAAAAGGCACCCTATTCCAATGGTTGGCCCGGCCACAGAAAGAAAATGTGGGTGGGTGGGTGGGTGAATGAGTGAATCAAAAATGGATGGATGGATGGATGGTTGGTTGTTTGAATTATGAAGACAGCAGCATGTTTCTAGGGCACTGGTCAAAAGTAGTGCACTATATAGGGACTATGGTGCCATTTTGGACACAGTCTAGGTCTGGGACTCCCACTCCCAGCTGGTAGGAAACCACAACACACTCACATTACTGATGATGGGGCATTAACACCATCCATTAGACTAGAGACAGAGGGTGGGGAGGAGAGAGGGAGAGAGGGGGAGGGTGTGGGAGAGAGGGGGATGAGAGAGAGAGAAAGAGAGAGAGACAGAGAGACAGAGAGAGACAGAGAGAGAGAGAGATAGAGAGAGAGAGAGAGAGAGAGAGAGAGAGAAGAGAGAGAGAGAGGAGAGAGAGAGAGAGAGAGAGAGAGAGAGAGAGAGAGAGAGAGAGAGAGAGAGATCAGAACATCCAATCAATCAGAATAAACCAAATTACAACACAGTCATAACAAAACTACATTGCTTATTGGGAAACACAAGCACAAAGTAAAATGCAATGCTATCTGGCCCTAAATCGACAGTACACTGTGGGTAACTATTTGACCATGGTTACTGCTCAAAACCTTAGAAAAACCTTGACAATGTACAGGCTCAGTGAGCACAGCCTTGCCATTGGGAAGGGTAGACACAGGAAAACCTGGCTCCCTGTAGAGGAAAGGCTGTGCAACCACTGCACCACAGCAGAACCTGAGACAGAGCTGCATTTCCTGACAAAATGTCAAAAATATAAAACAATTAGAGAGTGTGATTTCCCCAAATTTGAAACAGTTTTTTCAAGGTTTCAAAGACCTCTCTGATGAGAATAGGCTACCCGTCCTGTTGGGGGAGGACGCAGAGAGCTGTGGGTTGGCAGCGCACTACATTGCTGCCTGCCATAAGATGAGGGACAGTGTCTGACAGACCAACCAACCTGCACATGTCCTCTATGCTTATTGTTATTGTTCAATGTATGGTTATTTTGACCCTTGGTTATTGTTGTTACTGTTGTCCCGTTGACAATATTGATTATTATTATTTTAATTATGTTAATAGTGTAAATATCCAAAGTAAGCTTTGGCAGTATGTACATTGTTACGTCATGCCAATTGAATTGAATTGAGAGAGAGAGAGAGAGAGAGAGAGAGAGAGAGAGAGAGAGAGAGAGAGAGAGAGAGAGAGAGAGAGAGAGAGAGAGAGAGAGAGAGAGAGAGAGAGAGAGAGAGAGAGAATGACAGACAGACAGAGAGACAGTGGTGTCTCCAGAGACTGTGTTGTCTATCTCTGAGTCATGGTCACATTAGCCCTCAATCTGTCTGTCTGTCTGTTTTGTTTGTCCCATCTCAAGTTACACACACACACACACACACACACACACACACACACACACACACACACACACACACACACACACACACACACACACACACACACACACACACACACACACACACACACACACACACACACACACACACACACACAGGAAGGGGGGAAAGATCTCTAGAGGTACAGGAACCAATCCAGACCAGAGTAAACTTTACTGAATCACACCAGAGCCTGTATTCACAAAGCGTCTCAGAGTAGGAGTACTGATCTAGGATCAGGTCCTCCCTGTCCATGTTGTAATCTCATTCATTATGATCTAAAAGCCAAACTGATCCTAGATCAGCACTCCTACTCATACAGGCCCAGAAATAACAGAACCAGACCAGGCT